AGAATCTGTTTGCGTTTGAACTTGAGAAGATGAAAAATTCCATTGGGCATTCAAGGTTATCTAAATATTGCCACCATCGTCTAATTCCAACGCCTGGTTGCATTATTCGTCGAGTTTGTATGCCCGTATATTTCAATTTTGAATCGTAGCGGAACATTTCGCTCGGTGTGATAGATGTGCATCCTGACGTACTTCTTGCCAATACCGCCGTCCATTATCGAGCAGTAACCGCCTTTACCGTATCCGCGCACGTCGTAGCACCATATAGCCGAAATTACATCCTCTCTCACGTGACCTGCTGGAAGTTCACCGGGGTAATCGATGAATTTCTCTCGCGATGATAAAAATCTCTTTGGTTTAAATATATTCTACAAATGTTTATGTTTAATTAATGTTTTGATTAAGGAATTGTTTGATGATGTGTCACCTCGGTGAAGAGTAGCTTATCGACGTTCTTCCTGCAGCCGTAGAAACCGCTGTGGGATCCTGGCAGGTCATACTCGAACGGCATGCAGCCGAAGGCAACCTCGCGGTTCGCCACATTGAGCGAATTGTTTGGACGCTGCGGTTGTAGTTGGATTTCTCTGCCTCTGTACGGCGAATTGTACACTGGCAAGAAACCTACTGGCACAGTATCGATAACGTATGCATTCGGCGCTGCCAGGCCAAAAATCGCTAAAATCACCACGCCAATTATAATCATCTTGATTGGACGATGAAACACAATAACGCAATGAAAACTAAACTGCTGCGCTCTTTGTGACACGTTTATAAGTAGCTGGAATATTTTTTAAAAACTTTTATCAAAGGACTTTTGCAATAACACGCCACATACACACTGTTTTTGCAATATTCTTTGATATACAATCATATTTATTGCTTCTACACTGTTTGAAATTGTTTAAGTCGTTCCACATTGTACACACTCTTTAAACACGAGCATGAATTATTTATAAGCACAAATATTAGATATACGCAAGCAGAAAACACACATAATTTAGTCACCCAAAGGTAAATTACTGCATTGCAGCACAGCACCTGTGGTGTTCTGGAATATTTTCATTTTTAAGAAAAAAAATTATTGAATGCAATATGGCAGTAGCAATTTACGTGGGTATATGATGTGTGTGTAACAGTTTTCGAAGACCATGTCCATGCCATTAACATTGACCCACATTATCTTGTTGTTCTTTCTGGTTTATTGTTGAAAAGGCAGTTAAACGATGGCGTGCGTTTCTTTAACAGTTCGCGCTTTATTAGAAAACTCCCAGATCGTGTGGCTCGATTCGATTGTCGAGAGTTGAAAGAGAGGCCAGTAAACAGATTTAATATATAAATGTATCGCTACCAGATGATGATGGTGGCGATGCGACTTTTATTTCGATTGCCCGGCGGATATAGTTTCACTCTGAAGTTGTAAACCTGTTGGGCACGCTTTGATCCGATCATCAACATGATCAACAGCTGGTAATTACTACTAGACACTTTTCTTTTTCTCTGCGGTTTCTTTTCGTGTTGTTGTAGTAGTTTTTTTCTTTCTTTAATTTTGTTAATTAGGTTGGTGTTAGAAAACAAGTTGCGGGCTGTAATTAAAAATTAGTAGCTAATTTATGTGTAAATTAAAAATTTGCGAAACGTCTTTATAAATATTCAACGCACGCAACAATGCGTGCGTCTGTCTGGTTTGTGATGACCGGGCTTGTGGCCGTGTTTCTTCTTTAATTAATTAACATTTTTGCAACATGTTTGAGGTGGAAAATTGCAGGGAATATAGACGCGCAATTTTTGGGAAAACAACACGTGCAGAATATAAATATTTACACTTTGGTAATTTACAATTTCTAACAATATAACCTGTATTATAAGTATGACGTCATTAAGTATTTCATAAAAGGATAAGATTTGCTTAATTTTTACAAATAGATAAAGACTAACGGAATTTAGAGATAAGCACAGGTACTTGATAACAATGTTTTTTGAAGTTAAAACTTCTTTAGAATCGTTGTGATTTCGCTAGAATCCAACGAATTGCAGATTATGAAAGTTTGGAAATTTCTCTATTAGATTAGAATATGAAATAATTAAATATTTTAGGGTAAAAGGGCGAAAAAAGTGAGTAAAAGTGCTAAAAATTTAAATTTTTCAAATTTTGACAATTTTTTTACAATTGTGGATATCTCGTAAACTAAAAGAGATAGAAAGGTACGAATTGCAGAGTCTTTATCTACGGACAATTCTCTATAAGATACGATAGTTAGATTGGATATCTTAGAGATGAAATTTTAATTCATAAGAAAAAATGGGCATTCCTGTTACTCTTTTCGTCTGATTCTCTCACAGTGCAGTGTTCTAATGGTTTCATTTCTACCGCGTGTGAATTGCATACTGGATTTTTTTTTTAATATTGATGTGGGATTTTATTTATTATTAGATGATAGATATTTTTAATTTGTTTGGTGTCGTCTGAACGGCAAGTCTGTCGTCCGTCGATGATCGTGTGCCGAATTTAGAATCGAACATGATACGCTCCGAGCCTTCTACAGTCATAAAGCATTTGTTTCATGCGTAGTTATTGACCGGTAGTGACATTTCGCCAAACGAGCGCGTCATGCGTCGACTGCGCGCTGCCATCCTATTGTTACATATGGTACAGGTACACATTTGTACACTACATGTTGTCATGTATCAAAGGACAACAATCAGGTGTACATTATATGAATATACAAACAAAAAAATTAAAAGAAGCTAGTGTAAAGGCTTAAAACTAATATAATTAAGGGATTTATGACACCTGAGACATTGAAGGGTGATAGTAGAAGGGGGTTTGGACATCCACTATACGGAACTAGCGACTGAATGGAAGATAGTGGAGAGAGTGACTTATACCTGCGCCCGACCCGTAGGAAGTGGTGGGGGAAAGCTTGGGTTACTGTTTGTTTACGGGCAAGGATATAAGCTGCTGGTACCTACACTCAGCACAGTGGTGAACGGGGAATTTTAAATTACCAACTCTTTCTCGGTCAATTGCTAGAAGGCAGGTGTTGATGATATCTTACCATTGCGCACAAAACTGCCTATAAGGGAGTCTTTATATTAATATTTACTCTTAATATTCATATAGTTTGCTACGTCTGAATATAGCAAGGAACTTTCCTCAGATCATTAATTTTACTATTTTGCAAATAAGGAAGGTAATATTTACTAAATTGCAAGAAATACACACACCTGTACCGTGTTGTGATGACTTATAAACTTAATAAAAGCAACATAGGTGGTTATGTCGTTAAACTACTCTTACATCTGTTTTTGGCTTTATAAATTTTAGAATAAATAACTTACTTTATGTGCACATTAATACACGGCTATTAAATTTTATCGTGTGTGGTTTTTATTTTTTGCGTTTTCGGGTGATGTCAAGCTAGAGATGATTGAGTTTTGACTCACTTGGACTTGAACCAATTCTTTTATCTTTTTGTCATGTAAGTTTTAGCTTCTGCTTGTTAATCTCTGACTAATAAGACCAAATAGAAATATTGGGTTTGAATCATCGTGTCCTTGAGTTTATGGCAAATATGTGTGTATATTTATCTCAAACATTTCGTCTTTTTTATTTTCTACTTAAGGCTAATAGAGATTAAATTTATGTGAGAATATAAATCACATAGTCTATAAACTTTACGATTTGCTTGAACCCGTCAATTTGCGCAATTAGATTTACCTAATTTTTATTCACGATTGCGCGTACGTGAACGTTGAAATTTACGATTTTAACAATCATCTAACGGCTCTCCGCTTGTAGGCTTGTTATTTTGAATGTACGACACCGTTTCGAAGTCGAAGTAGAATTAGTTACAAGCGTCATCCCCATTGAACACAAATTACAATGTCAAACCTCATGGTTTATTACCGCCATTGCTTCGAATAATACAATTGCTTTTCAAAGATGACCTGCTGCGCTCTGATCGAAATTGAAAATGATTGGTTATTTCGTATATTCGATTTGAAATCTCTTGGCTTTGTGCAGTAATTGCACAGGTGTTATCAGAGCGTAACGATTGTTTACATTCATAGAGGAACTATTTATGCGCACTTTTTTTCTTTATTCTAATTTGCGATTGCATTGCATGTGTTTACCACATCGATTTTTATCAATTGCGAAAAATCTACAAAATGCAAGGATTAAAATAATTCCAGCGCGATTAAACTAATTATTGCTTAATAACAATGGGCGTTTAATGCAAATCGTTCATTAAAAATTTGATTTCGAAATAATTAGTACAAGATGCAGATATTTTTTTTATTCAAATGCTAATAGCATATCCAGTAGTGTTTCTAATTGGCTAATTATTTGATATTAATAATAATTAGGTTTGATTAGAGCGCGTTTCGAGTTATATTGCTAAAGAAAGTTGAGGCTTGACAAAATTCATGGTCGGTTTGGATGAAGTTGAAGTTGAGTTTCATTTCATTTCATTAATTTCTCTTTCTCGAATCTGTCTGACTGACTGACTCTTGACTGGCGTTGTGCGTGTATATAGTCATGTAGTGTGTTTGTTGGTCGGTAATTATATCACATCCACCTTTCTTCTGCGCAAACAGGCGCTGCCAGCAGCACAGCGGTGTTGTTGGTATGGTTTACGGCGTTTGCGGCGCAGTCAATTGGCGATTCATCCGCAGGCGCGCCTTGGCCGCATTACCTTGACCGACGTTTCGTCTCGTATGCATGTCGCGTGATCACGGTGATCACGATTTGTGTTCAATCGAACAGGTGAAAAGCCCGAATTGAGTTTTGTTTCGAAAACTGCTGCATTGATGGTGGTCACAGACAGTTTATTTATGACAATGTATACACTTCTTCTTTATGTTTATCAAATACAAGCTAATCATAGAAATAAGATGTGATGATAAAACTTTCACACAACTTGCAAACGTGTGCATTAAAGGATGTGAAAGCGCTTTATAACGTTTTCTGAATTGTTGTCGTTGTTTTTTTTTTGCAGTTCCAAAATGAATCGCTATAACTTGCAGACGCCTGTCGAGCCGCCGAGAGGCCGACCTGTCAGCGCGATGGACGCCGCACGGGCGACCGACTTTTTTGAGTCCTTCCTCAACGCCAACACGCTCAAGACCATCCTTGGAACCTATCGAAGTATTTGTGAGCTGCTGCATCTGAAGCCGAATGCGCTGCCTTTATTCTACCCTAAACTGAAGGAGCATTTGACTTCGTGGCGTGCCAAAGCGTTATGGAAGAAGTTTGATGCTAGGGCTAATAATAAATGCTATGGCAAGGGAAAGCTATGTCCCAATACGCGGGTGTTAATTATAGGTGCGGGACCTTGCGGATTGCGTTCCGCCATTGAGGCGCAATTACTTGGAGCCAAAGTTGTAAGTACAAAATAATTGTGCTTCAATTAAAATTGTATTGAAATGTTTTTCTTTTGTTTTTAATTTTTAACCAGGTTGTAGTAGAAAAACGTGATAGAATATCAAGGAATAATGTACTTCACCTGTGGCCGTTTGTCATTGATGATTTGCGTCTGCTCGGAGCAAAAAGTTTTTGGGAAATTCTGTGCCGGTGCAATTGACCACATCAGCATCCGTCAGCTACAGTGTATTCTCTTAAAGGTTGCTTTACTTCTTGGTGTGGAAATTCATACAGAAGTTAGTTTCGAGCAATTGATTGAACCAAACCCGGAAGAAAGTAATGCACTTTTAATGTTTGTAATTTTTTTATATTAATTTTTAATTGATTATTACAGAAACAGGTTGGAAGGCAGAGTTCAAACCAACTGAACACCCCGTCAATCAATTCGAGTTTGACGTTGTGATCGGCGCCGATGGCAAGCGTAACACTTTACAAGGCTTTAAACGCAAAGAGTTCCGCGGAAAACTCGCGATTGCAATCACTGCAAACTTTATCAACAAGCGCACTGAGGCAGAAGCACGCGTCGAGGAAATCAGCGGCGTCGCGTTTATTTTTAATCAAAAGTTTTTCAAGGATTTGTTCGCCGAGACCGGAATTGATTTAGAGAATATCGTTTACTACAAGGACGATACACATTATTTTGTGATGACGGCGAAGAAGCAGAGCTTGATTGATAAAGGTGTGATCAAGCAGGATCTGCAAGACACGGCGAGGTTGCTTGCGCACGAAAATGTTGATCGTAATGCGCTTATGAGTTATGCGCGTGAGGCGGCCGAATTCAGCACGAACTACATGATGCTGGATCTGGAGTTTGCCGTCAATCACTATGGCCAGCCAGACGTGGCCATGTTCGACTTTACCTCGATGTACCAGGCGGAAAACGCGTCACGGATTATCGAACGGCATGGTTATAGGTTGCTATCGATTCTCGTCGGTGATAGTTTATTGGAGGTGTGTGCGAAAACGTACACTTACTACTCGAATGCATGTAATTAACTCGAAATATTTGTTGCAGCCGTTTTGGCCGACTGGATCGGGCTGTGCGCGCGGTTTCCTGTCTTCCTTGGACGCCGGCTGGGCGATCCGTAGCTATGGCTCGCACTCGGCAACGCCGCTGGAAGTTTTGGCGGAGCGCGAGTCTATTTACAGACTACTTCCGCAAACAACGCCGGAGAACTTAAATCGAGACTATAAGAGCTACACGTTGGATCCTTCGACGCGTTATCCTAATTTAAATAGAAATTTATTATTACCACAGCAAGTTTTGTCGTTGTTTGACACCGACGATGTCAAGTCTATCGAACTGAGTCGGACGCCGGTGCCGAGCAATGTTATAGATAATCCAAATAAACGACGCAGAAGAGGTTAGTCTGAAAGATTAAATTATTTTATTTGTTTTAATTTATAAATTTTGCTTCTTTTACAATAGATTCGCATGTAGATCCAGATACACTTCTCTGTTGGATACGAGATCAAGTAAAGGAGCATGAAGATTTGGACGTTGCTAATATAACAACGTCATTTAAAGATGGCCGGGTCCTCTCCGCGATTATCAGTCATTACCGGCCAGATTTGCTCGACTATAACAGTGTGACAATTGAAGACGCAGTTGGGAATAATCAGGTCGCGTTTGATTTGCTTGAGAAGGAGCTGGGTATCACAGCTGTTATGACTGGCGAGGAAATGGTAGACGGGGACGTGCCGGATTTCCGGATGATGGTTGCCTACTTGACGCAGATTTATGACACTTTCCGCGGCGAAATTCCACATATTAAACACCCGAAACTGGTAAGTTGAACTTTAATCATAGACGGTCATCTCCTAATACTTTTCATCATTAGAGAGCATTAAGTACTACTCGAAAATGTTTGGTGTCCTCGACCGCAGTACCCTCCTTGATTTTTCATAAAAATACCGAAAAATCTAAGTTTTCTCTTGTGGACCGAATAAATTCACATCATGTTGAAGTTTTTGATATCCCGAATCATATTAGTTTGTCAGCTCTTGACGAGCCTAACAAATCTAAATTGCTGGTTGTAAAAGACGTTTTAACTACTGACTCAAAGGCAGATGATGCGATTGAATGTAAAAAAGCAGACCGCACTGCTGCTAAATTGGCATTATTAGCTGATAGCAAAATACTGCAGGCTAAAATGGACAAAGCTAGAGATAAATCAAAGGAACACAAATATACTGATGTTTCAAAAAGCGATGCATCCACGGATGCGTTGCATGTGAGTTTTGTTGAATGTTTGACCAAATTCGTTCAAACTGACACGAAACTTACGCCGGTTAAAGTAAACGCGAATATACAGACGTGTGTTACGGAAAACATTAAGATTATCATCAAAGATCGTCAGACCGTGCATTCGATTAACTTCGATTCTAAACCGAACCGTTTAAATATCATGTTACCCGATTATGTACAAAAAATACGCAGCAATTTAATTAGCAACCGTCAGTTGGACGTTTTCAAAAGCGTAAATGTTTATAAGCATAATGCTTTTCTATCAATGAATAAATTCTTGTCTGTGAAAATGAATCAGGCTGATCGAGTCAGAGATGCACCGCCGCCTCTAGAATACAATTTTGATCGCGTCGTCAATTGGATTAGCGCGAGTAATTTCAATAATGCGTTGACCGGAACCGAAACGCCAAAACGACAAGCGTGCAGAATATGGACGGTCTCACCGACATTACATCCGTGACACGGCAAAACCGATGCCGATGAAACCTACAGTTGTGCGGAATATTTTGCAAGAGTCTGATGATGTTGAAACATTGAAGAATCTCGCGAAGATCTTCGATGAAATCAAAGATAATAGTCTTGAAATGAAATGGCAACAAACTGAATCAGCGGAAAAAAGCGTCGAAAAGAGTAGTGGGCAGCGGGATTCAAAAGGAGTGGTTTCGGTTGTAGTTGAAAAACGAGAAAGCGTATGTCTTATGCCCATCCTAATTTTGATTATCTACATTTTTAGTCACAGTTCTTTCATTGAACATTTTAGACTTTCAATTTCCTCATGCAGATCTAACTGATTGTTTTGATGTTTTTTGTTTTGTGCAGGAATTACCCGAATCGAGGCGACATCAAGATGCTGCATTTACCAAAAACCACCCGGCTATTAAACCAGCAATTGCAACGTATGCTGCCATCTCGTCAGCTCCTACTCCGACCTCTCATCATCGTCCTGCCACAAGACACAGACGCCATGTTGATCTACCGGAAACATCACCGAACGCAGCACCAAACCATGACCGGAAACCACGAAAAAGGAGGTCGGCAGTGGAGAAGACCGAGAAGATGCTTGTTGGTGGCGTGGTGAGTTTATTCGTTGTTGTTTTTTTCTATAAATTTGCTCAATACGTCAGGGGGTGGTATAATTAAGAAGCGATTTAGATATTTCAACAATTTAGTACATATCAGTAGCAAACACATTTTTTTATTCCTGTACTAACCATTAATTAACACTCTTTATTTTATTATATATCTTTATTCTATATATTATTTTTTCGCTTTTCTTTAACACAAGTAAACATTGATTCTGTATCTTATTCTTCTATTTCTTTTAACACCCCACTATTACATTCATCCTAATCCATTCGTTTCTCATTGGTTTTAGTTTTTTTCTGAACTTTTTACCGTGATTTGCCAGACAAGCCTCGTGGGGATAACGCTTTTTGTGCTGGACTTATTAATCAACGCGAAGTCATATGATCTACCATTTTTACATTATTTATAATCATTAATTTTATTTGATCGAAATATACAAGCTACGTAAAAGAAGAGCACTATTACATTGTACTTTGTTGTGTTCAATGAATGAATGTTGCATTTGCATGTGGTTTCATTTCATGGTGGTTGTTTTATTACAAAAGGAAGAACGAATGAAGAGATTGGAAGAAATCGCTTCAAATCGCAACGAGCGTCATAGCAAGCGCCGCCAGCAGCGAAAGATGCAAACTGAGCAGTTCATTAAGAGCATGCAAATGTTGGCAGCGAATTCAATAAGCGAGAATTCGGAGCCGTTCGAAGACTATTCGATTTTCTTGTATCGCCAAACAGCGCCCAACTTTGAGGATCGCGTCAAAGATTTGGAGAAAAAGTTTACGTACATACCAGTAAGCGATGTGGTTGCTGTGGTGTGATAGATGTCAACCGTAAACAATACGCCTAACAATAATACTGCGGGTTTAACTTGTTGGGTTTATTTTTTTCTGTGCTGAACTAATCAACTGAAATAACTAATGTTTTCATTTGTCCACTATTGATTAGTACAACTCGAGATTGAAATGTTTTAGGAGAATCGAGTGCCAGTGCAACTGCGAGGCGAAAAGGACGAAGATTTCAAGGCGCGCATCAAGGGTATGGAAGACAAAGTCCACGACAGCTTTGTGACCGAGAAGAAGCCCAAAGAATTACTGCGCGCTATCGGGAAGATTGAAAATACTGATTGGAATATCAAAGAGATTGAAAAGAAGATAATTGAGAATAAGATGGGCAAGAACGTCAACAAGGATAGAGAAAAAGTGCCCAAGTGGAGCAAGGAACAGTTTCAAGCGAGGCAATTGAAGATGGAGAAGCAGCACTTGGAGCGGCAGGATAGCGCCGGCGATAAGTATGCCGAGATAGATAAGAACATTAAACAATTGGATCAGCGCTTGAAGGAGGGCACTGTAAGAGATTTAAATCGCAAGAAAGTCGCGCAGATTACAGAAAAACTGAAACCAAAGACAGATGAAGTCAAACCCGTTCAAAAGAGCGTAAGTTACCATCAAAAACTTCCATTAGTGCTTAAAAGTTTAATTAAATGATTGTTTATTTAGGCTTCAAAACCGGCGGTGGTACTACCAAACCAAGGGAAATCTGAAACTTGTCACTTCTGTAACAAACGCGTGTATTTAATGGAACGTTTATCGGCTGAGGGTAGATTTTTCCACCGGGGATGCTTCCGGTGTCAATATTGTCATACCGCCCTCCGATTGGGTTCTTATATGTTTGATCGCGATGGCAAATACGGATATCGGTTTTATTGTGCGCAACACTATGGCCAGCCCGGTGAGATTAAACAAACGAAGATCGTCCGGAAATCGTCGCAGAAACAGACTGAAAGAAGCCCCGAAAAGAAATTCTTGACGGGTGTAGCTGGTGTTGATTTATTGGACAGAGGTTAGTAAAAACGTTATAGTACTAATTTTGTTGCTAAATATGTTTGATAGTTAATGTCAAAGTAGATGACGGTGTTTCAGGTCAAACTCCTGAAAGAATTGAATTTGATTTGTCTGCCGGTCAAGCATCCTCTGATCATGAGGAGCCGCTCAGTCAAATGGATGAGGACGAATGGACGGATAGAAACTTCGGAGCGTCGACAGCAGAGTTGGGAAGTAGCGATGATGATGATTCGAGTTTCAGCGAATCGGATGATGATGACGACGACGCTTTTGAGGAAGCTTTAGAAGAGCCACCCACCAAAGAAGGCACTTTGAAATTGTTGAATACTTTGTGCAAGAAGCGATTTTCACACAGGCATCGCAACGAATCAGATTCTGATAGTTACAGCAGTTCAGATAGATCGAGCTACTATGAGAATAGTAGCGGAGGTAAGTTTAAAAAAAATAAAACCAAAGATTGTACTTGAAAGTTTTGCCATTTTTTGATGTTAGATGATGATTCCGATACTGCAACTGAAGGCGAAGAAGAAATTCAGGCGCGTGAGCGGCGAAAAATGGAAGTTCAAGTGAAACCACCCATTGTACACACTGATACTGGGACGGACACTGAGGTGAAAACATCAACAAATTCTCATACTGAAACTCCCGAACAACCCGCACCCTTAGATCCCCTTCCCGATCTTGGTCTTCCAAAAGTTGAAATACTCCCCGGTTTAGATGTACCTGCACCTCGTAAAAACAGTAAGTCGTCGGACGACGTTTCTCTTAATTCGAATGATTTTGATAGCGCGGAATCGGATTTCGAGGATTGCGTGCGTGAGTTTGAGACGGAAAGCAAAAATTTAGAAACGCATTGTTTAAAACGGTTTAATGATAGTAATAATAATAAAAACACGATAAGTAAGAGTGCAACTGTCGGCGCAATAGTCAAACGTAACTTTACCTTGCCGCCGAAAGCGGAAAATCGTAAAAGTTTTGGCAAAGAATTCATACCCGCGTTTAAAACGAATGACTCCGAACCGTTGTTGATTATAAAACGTACGCCGAGTAAGATTCATCTGCCGAAAGAAGTGGGTAAACCAAAAGTTGCGGTTAAGACTAACATTGATAGTGCGAAGAAGTACTTCGGAGATGTTAAACCTAAAACAATAAAAACGGTTGTTAAACCTAAAGTGGAGGAAGCACCGCCATTGCCACCTAAAGAAGTTGTTAAACCAATTGAGAAGGAAAAAACTCCGCCGTGTGAGAACAAGGAATCTAAAGAGAAGGAAAATTCTGCGTTTAATTTTGATCCACATAGCGATGATGATCTAGATAATTATATTGAGGATTTACTTCAAAATGAAGAGGAACTTATGAAACCCATTGATCCTAATAAGTTTGCTCTACCAGAACCTGAACCGGAATCAGAACCAGAATTGGATAAAGAAAGTGTTTCGAGTAGTATTGAAGATCTTCTCAAAGCATTGGAAACTGAGAATAGTTTAGACGATTCTGAGAGTGCAATAGAGTTAAATCCTGATGAGAAAATTGAGGATTTACTTGAATGGATGAATAACTTAGATCACAGTACTCATAGTACCAAATTATCGAGATCATTGACAGATGTGAAGTATAAGAATTTAGAACGTGTTTTGAAGACCCCTCAACGCGCTGATTCTATAATTAGTAAGTTGCCTAAAGATAATATTAAATATTTCGAGATGCACTTGTCTGGTAAACAGGTACCACAAGTAATGGAAGAGAATTTTGCTTTGACTAGGTCTAAAACTGATGTGTTGTGTAATCAACACAGGAAATCTGTTGATTTGGACGCCATGGGTAAAGTTGATGTTAAGAAAGTTTTGAGAAAGTTTGAAAGTTTTGATAGTCCAGAACCTAAAAAAGAACCTTTAGTATCGAGAAGGTCTTTTGGTAAGAGAAGTTCCTGTGGAAGTTTTAATTTTAAAAAGGCAAAAGAATTGGAATTGAAAGATATTGATGGCGAATCCAGTTCTAATGCTAATTTTTATAAGAGTAATTGTACGGTTCAGACCAAGATTAATCCTAATTATTATCAGCTTGGTGAAGATGAGGGGACAGTGGTTTCTGCTAATTTAGTTTTAAATGTTATGAACGATTTAAACAAGGAGAAATCAAAAGAAGACGAATTGGTTAATGATTTGCCTAATATTGTTAGTTCTGAGCCTGAACAAGAAAAAATTGATGAAGATAAGAAACGTGAGCGTAGTGCTTCCGTTGAAGCAGAAATAAGTGACATGCTAGAAGGTTTTGATAGTTTATCAAAGGGAATAGAGAAAGAATTGAAATCAGCAGATGAAAACAAGAAAGAATTTGAGAACATAGTACAACGCATCAGTGATTTACAAAGTAAACTGGGAAGTAAACAAAAATCACCTGAAAAACGTTTAATGGGAATAATAACACCATCAGGACCTTCAAACGAAATTGTCCCAGAACAAAAACCACCGAATTTGGACGATCTTTATGCAAAAGTCAACAAAAAACAAAAGGAGTTGCCTATTGAACCCCCAAATGAACCTGTCAAAGAAGAACCAGTAGAAAAATCGAAAGAAACCTCCAGTAAAATATTTACCTATTCGCCGCCTGTACCAAGAAGAATTCGAAAACATTCAGGCAGTGAAGTTGAACCACCTCCACGACCTCAAAGGCAGAAATCATTTGAGCAAAAACAAGAACAGCGCAGTTTAGCTCTACCTAAACCAAATCCTGCGTTAATGATTCGCTCGGCTGATAACTCACCAATTGCCAAACGGAAAGTTTGTGAGATTCCTGTGGTTCCCACCAGGAAGAAATGTTTAACTGCTTCTCCACCTGCAATGCGAAAACATCCTCCACAAGATCATAAGATTGCTGATTTCCCTGTGCTGCCTCCACGAACAAAATCAAAAGGTGAATCTGACAAATCCGGTGAGCACAGTAAAAGCTCAACGTTAGACAACAAGGATCGCAAGAAGGATACTAAACACGATAAGCATGATAAACACGATAAAAAGGATAAGGATTGCTGCATACAATAATCATCAAGAATCTTAATCTCTAAATAATAATTTTAATACCGAATCATTAACGAATCGTGAACTCTAATTAATATTTTTCTAATTTTCTAGTCATTTTGATATAATTGAATAACTCAAACAATTAATTTGCGAGACTCGAAATATTCGCTGACTTTAAAATCGGAATTTTAATTGTGGTAATAATGTTTAATGTAATGTAATAATATTTGGTGATGTTTTGTTAAGTTTCTTAAAAATTTATCGCGTTGTTATTGATTTGCTAAATTTAAATGTTAAAAATTACAAAGCGCCTAATGAATAGCGAGCGCAATTTGCTGCATTCATAAAATATTGGAAATTGATTTAGTAACAAACACAAGCTCCCCACGATTGCCAGTGTGTCAACAGTCACGTCTTAGCAATGGTAATCGAAGGTAATTATTTTGCGTGGCGAATTTAATTTGATGGTTTGTTGTGATAATGGCGGCATTGACTTAATCAAAGCGAATTAACAGCGTCTTATCCATTGCTGACGTGAGTGTTGTGTGATTAAAATCTACCCATCTAATAATTAAGCTCCTGAAACCGGCTCAACGCATGTCTTTTTATTGTTGATTTGATGTTCTTTAAAAGAGTTTTTTGAAGATTTTTTAATTGTTTTGTTTATGTTTAGATTGCGTCGGACGATGAAACCTCGTCATCTAGCGAGGTACAAAACTCTGCAACGGAAATCTCAACAGATTCTGAATTTGCTCAAGATGATCCAACGCCGACGTGCGAAATACCATCGATTGTCTTTAACGACATGTTTGTGGCGAAGACGCGTGGGAGCAGCAAACTGTCGCCACCACAGAAGGTTCAAGTGAAGAGCGCTGAGATTCAAAAACCCGTCGTAAAGACTGCAAGTACAACTTCTCCTAAAACGGGCAGGGATATCGAGCTGAAATTTACTCCTCTTGTTCAAACACCTATTCGAAAGCCTGTCGCACCTCTTTTGCTTCGGACGGAGGGCTATGCATTGAATCGCACACAAAGCACGGGGGGTATTGCTACTAAAGTATCGCTAGAGCTGAAGAAGAAGTACCTCTTGGGTGAGAATAATCCCTCAACTGCCATACAGAAATCCGGCAGTGCCTCCACGCTTGACTCCAAGTTCAAATCATTTCATTCGAACATCTCCGACTGCCAGAAGTTGTTGAAGCCAAGTGCCGAGCCCAGCGCCAGTATGCAAACATTCTGTAACAAGTTAGATGAACATCGAACCTCGCCGATTTCCCCATTGGCTATGTCACGTCCTATTTTCAAATTACCTGAGAAAGCCGTCACTACCACTCCCACAACGAAAACAACGAAGGATGAAATAATCGAAGAGCAGCCCGAGGTAGCCGTTGTCCCGAACGAGTCCGAAGGCCGTCCGAGAAGCCCTGTTCATGAAACATCAATTATTGTGCCTCAAATCGATTGGAGCCAGCAATCAAAAGAAAAGCAATTGTCCAGTGAAGGTACCAGTGACACTACCAGTTCCACGGATTCGGACGAAAATCAAATTCAAAAGTCTCCCAGCGTGAAAGCGTTTAATATTAATCCCGACTCTGAGTCTAGTACGAATATTAAAGATAATAATAATGACAATATTCCTATGGATAGTCTGAATTACATTTCGTATTCTAAGATTGAGAGTCAACCGAGTTCAATTCACGATCCGCCGAAGTCGATATCCAGCGAAAAGAAGGCATTGAACCAGCCGAAAACTTTACCCAAAATGGATGACGACCTTTTGTTGGCACAAGTTCATAGTGTTCTGCACAAACCTAAACCGAATATTGTGGTATCACATCAACCACCTAAACCGGAAGAGAACACCGAGCGGATAATCAGTGGGCGGAGTACTCCTTCCCATGAATCGGGTGTTTATCAGGTTACAGCTGCGTTGACTGAGACGGAACTTTCAGACTGGGCTCACGATGGTATGGTATCGGATGATTTTGCCGAATCTGACTACGAAGTCAAAGACCAGGAGAAACCCAAAGATAAACCTATATTTGCAAAGAAAGCTACCATTGTGGAAGCTGAAAATCTGCATGTTTTAAAGGCTGTGCGCAAGGAACCAGAAGAAGAGAAGTTTGAGTGCATTAGTAACATTTTATGTCCAACCCTTGACAATATCGAATTTATGGACACTGGCAGCGAAAGCAGTGAAGATGAAGATGTCTCTCCAACTAAAAATAATGGCTACGTGCAATTCCACGATGAAGATGATATTGCAGAAGATTCTCTTTCGCCAGTTATTAATATTGTGGAAGCTAAAAGTCCAATGATCAAAGCAACATTAGATGAAGATTTTGATGCCTTGTCGACAGTCGACTAAAACACTGGTTATTGCATCATAGCTGACGGCAATCAGGATTCTTACGGTGGCGAAGTTATTGACTTAAAACCTACAGATCTTCAAGTTTTGAAAGAGAAACAAAACATGTTTGACAACGAGGAGGATAGTCTGATAATTATAGAAAAGAGCACAACTGATGACAACACCTGCAGCGATTCCACAGTGAAGAATGTGACGGAGATAGCTCCCAGGGAACAACCGCCTGCACCACCAGCACCGGTCCTTGCAGAAAACAACAACACACTGGATAAGAAACGCTTAGAAGATAAGTTAGCACAAGTTAAGAGTGAAATGAAGATGATCAGCGAACAACGCAAGGCTGCACATATTGAGGCAGAGAATATGCGCAATAATATTGACTTTGTTCAACACTGCCAAAGGTTGCAATCCAAAGTCGATTTCGGTAATGCCAAAGATTCTATTGATATACGTAAAGCTAGAAGGCAAAGTAAGTCGGGTAGTCCACCAAAACCTGACTTGATTCAAGAGGAGAAGGAGATTTCAAGCCCGATTCGCAGCCGCAGGGAACAAATTGAAATGGAGCGGGATTTGAATAAGAAATTAGTGCAAGAAATGGTAATGAACAAAATGCGCGCAGAGAATAAGTCGTTGGAAAGAAAGAGAAGGAATCGCAATTTCAGTCCAAATTTGTCACCTAGTCGTCCTTATGAGTTGACGAAATCACCAACAACTGATATTGCATCACACATGCGTCATCCCACGCCCGATGTTTTACTCTCTACGATTAATAAAACTCCGATTCAGAAGTCCGAGACTTTGGCCGATTTTCATTCGGAAAGAGTGACACCACGAACGAAATATACTCCACTTTCATCGAACAATAGCCGCCCACTTTCTGCATTTGTGGCTGGAAGAAGTGATAATCTTAAATTGACGGAAAAGTCATTGCCGAATTCGGAAGCTTTTAGTTTGCCTGATATTCAAAAGGCAATTGATGGTGATTTTGTAACGCCAAAGGCTCCGCCACGGACCAAAAATGAAGGAAATCGAACGGTTGAGAAATTGAAAGAAGATGCGCGAGCACGTGCAAGATTATTAAGTGATGAAGACTTAGGTGTGTATTATTTTTAAACTAAAACATTGTTGTTATTAATTTATTTACGTTTTGAACATAGGATTGAGTCCAGAGGAAAAATTAGCGCAACTTCGTATGCGTTTAGCGCGGCGTGGTAAAGAGAACGACGATATTCATCTACAAGGCAACATTCATCCGCTTGCTGTAAATAGTGAACGACCCACGTCTTTATTCTACAAGAACGACACTCTGAATAAAAAGAAAATTGCTTCTTTTCGGCGTTCTAAGAGCGGTGACGATCATTTAAACCTAAAAGTGAGCAGTCAACCAACTCGCGAACGCACTAAATCTTTTGGAGAGGGCCAAATTAAACTTTCACTCAGATCTAGTGAAGGCTCGGAAGGAAAATGCTTTAAATCAGATCCGAACCTACTGCTTGATTCGGTCGAAGTGAACAAAAAGAAAGAAAAGAAATCCAAGGACAGAGAACGTAGAAAGAGCATCACTAAATTATTTACAGACTTTTTTGCTAAAAAGAAAGACTTCAACGTTACATCGAGCCACAATAATAGTAACAATAAAGGATTTCTCTCAAGGATCTCGCCGAAGACAAAGGATAAATCGAAGGTTTGTTGTCCTTTACTGTGTTATTTGTATATCAATTTTATATAACTTCAATTTCAATGTGGCGCATTGTTCATCTCAGTTCATATGAGTTGCTCTTCATCAGTGTTTACAAGGACATTAATTAATTAATCTACGTGTTCGATTTTACAGTCATGCATTGACCTACACCAAAAAGATAGTGTAAGAGTTTTTAATTGTGAAATTTTATATTTTGTGCATGTTTTTTATTCCATTGTAGATGAGATTTAAACAGCTTGCGAATCATCAGGATTTACGAGTTTTACCTATTTTATTTAGCGTTGTTGTTGTTTTTGTATTAATTTTCGCTGAAGAACTAATATTTGTTGTTTTGAGTAGCTTCGATATGCATGATATGTTGAGTGATTTGGTAGAATTAATAAGAGGTATCAAATGTTGATGAACATAGATATTTAACTCTTAAAAGCGTTGAAAATCTTCGAGTCGTATTGATACTTGTCTTTTCTTAGTAAATAACTACTACAGCGTTCACATATTGATAATGCAATATTTTAACAGGAGATTTTAAAGGAAGAACCCGTGCGTCGAATGAGCTACACAGAAACGCGGCGATTTACACCTGGAAATGTTTCACCACCGCCGATTCCACCTTTACCTTTGAATTACACCGGAGCCAAATCTATTGGTATGCACCTTTTTAACTGTACATTAGTAAAAAATAACTTCATTCGCTTTTTGTTTTATTTTTAAAAGATGATAGTTCAGATGGTGAAGGTGAATGGAAGCGCAACGATCGAAGCTCATGTGATACATTGGATCAATCCGGAATACAAGAAGGTTCGATTTCTAGCCGAAGAAATAGCAGTAGAAGCGCACGCAAAGCACGCCAATCACAATCAAAAAGGTACTAAACATTCACGAAGTGTTTACTTCTCATCACTCCAAAATTCAATTAAACCACGCACTATTAATTAATGTTAAATGTGTTAACAACTTGTCATTATACTAATACATAATAACTAACTATGTAGACACCGAATGGCTCAAGAAATTCAACGCAAACTTGAAGAAACAGATGTGAAGACGCGAGAATTAGAATTGCGAGGTGTGACGATTGAGAAAACGTTGCGTGGCGAGTGCGAATCGGCGAATCAGGATGAGACTGTCCTACTTAAGGAATGGTTTGATTTAATGAAGGACATTACGGAATTGAGAAGGTACGAACGGGAATTGATGGTGCGCGCACAGGAATTGGAACTTGAAGATAGGCATGCCAGGCTCCAACATGATCTTAAAGAACGTCTAAGCAACGGTAATTTATATTAAATTGATTATAGCTAAAGGTTAATAATTGTATTAAATGTTTGTTTGCAGAGCTTAAAAAATCTGAAAAAGATATTGAGACTGAGAGCAGTATTATACAGGAAATGTTGGACATTGTCGCCAAAAGAGACTCACTCATTGTTTTACTTGAAGAAGAACGATTAAGGTTGATTTTTGCATTAATATTTATTAATATTCACTTCACAACACTTAAAACTACATGTTAACATTGATATACGTTGTATACTTTAGAATCTGATTTTCCTGAAGTGTGTATTTTGTTGTTGGTTTGTTTAGGTATAAAGAAGAAGACAGAACACTTGAAGATCAAATGCTTGCTAAGGGAATTAACGTTGCTACAGTGATGTCCTCTGCGACGGCAGCAGCTACGAAGTAGGAATTGATACCGCTATACACACTTACTCTACCAGTACTTTATAAAAGAAATTCGATGTATAGGACGCCATGGTTGGTATTACTACAAGCAGGGTACTCAAAACAATAGATTTTTGTCGGTTTTGAACGGACACAGCGAGTTGAATGAGCCACCTGAGCTTGTTTGTTTTAAACAAGTGACTAGCATTCAGAAGTTTGTTTGCGTCCTGGCTTTGTAACACGTCAACGAGTGCTGAGTTTACTCCAGTGATTTTGTGCACGTCCCAACTATTCTATTTTGCTTAATTTAATCAATGATTCACTTTTGTGTAAACTAGTCCTTAATTGATATACATGTTCAAGCGCGCGATATGCTATTTTTACTAATTGATTGTGTTTGTAACAAACGGAACAAAACGAGCGGTCGAAAGAAGAGAAAACTGAATTACAAGCTGTAATAAGGTCTGATGTGTATTTTTGGATAACGGAGTATTTGTAATTATGTACAGAGTTATTTTGTGAATGCAGATATTAGTGTTTTTTTTTTTGTGAATGATAAAAAGTGAGACTATAAGTGGTTGGTCCTTTTATTTCATTACATGCCGTGTGTTTAAAGCTGTGGTACTTAGGATTTATTGGCGAACTCACGTAGGCCTTCTTCGATGGTCGTTTTGGAGACGCCGGATTTGACTAGGATTGAGGTAACACCGATTCGTTGAATATCTTTGATATTGCGTTGTTCGTCATCGAAGAAAATCATCTCACTGTAGTCTATACCTGAGTCCTTTTTTATACTAAAATTTAAATATTTATAAAGCGAAATATGTATAAAGTAAATTATTTACTTGACAAAATGGGTAACTTTGCAACCAGGAAAGATCTGCTTGTAGGAAATGTATTTATTCCAATCGTAGAGTTGCAGTAAGGATTCCGCTCCGCGAATCTCACTCGTACGGGATGCAATTCCAATTTTACAACCGTCGTCAGTTAATTGTTTTAAAATTTCGGGGACGTCCGGATAGTGTTTCACTTTGCTGCCATGTGCATCAAGAACGTGCCCCTTTCTACAAAATAATAGTTAACTTTATTAAAAACAAAGCATAAAAACAAAATTTTATTTGATTTTCCCGGAAATTTAAAATAGTTGCCCCTTGTAATTATTTTAACCGCCAGGGTGCGCTTGGTTACATTCAAACCAGATGGTTGCAAAAAGATAAGTTCACAATAGTTGTTTGTTTGTTGTGTTGTTTAGTTGTTAAAAAGATGTCACGTTTCCTACATGTAAGTTTATTATTTACTTATTTATTTTGTGTAAGTAATTGCGGAATTTATATCATGACAAATAACGGTTTCCCGGGGATTTCCTCTGAATGTTTCATGAATGAATGACCTCTTGAACTTTACCTTTCCGCGTAAACTGTGTACACGCGCTAACCTTCAATTACCTTCCTCAAGGTTGCGCGTGGGTAACGAAAGTATTGATGATTTTCAAACGCCGGCTGTTCATCAGCCCCTCTTCAATTACTTATCAGAAAATAATGTTATGGCAACACATAAATCACACAAAATTGCACAATATATACACATCAGATGATGAAATACCACGCTAACTTAAATATTAATTAAATTTATTTGAAAACTTACTCTTTTCGAAACGGCGGCGTAACATGCGTGTCTACCCAAAAAGGCCATAGCGTATAATCTGAAAATAAAATAAATATTTATTAAAATACATATTTCCAAAAAATAAACCGTTAAAAAGTACCTAAATCAAATACTATTAGTGCCGGTTTTCGGGCAAGGACCGTCCTGGATGCGGAACCGGCTGAAGACATTTAGGAGCGTGAACTTCGATAACTTCCTGGCAATTGTTTCCAAGTTACGCGAACTTTTCCGTGAATGAATCAGTGAATCCTGCGACCTTGTAGACATGCGCACTCCTGCTACTCGCAGGAATCGGAATCACTCGATTTGCACGATGTAACGAGGAGGGGCGCTGTCATTGTCAAATACGTTTAAAAAAAAACGTTGCAAATCTATTCAGCCACCACACATTTATATAAATCATATGATAAGAGCAACTAATAGATACCATTTCGAAACGTATTCTATCAAGACGTTATCAAATCACGTGAATATGAAATATAATATAACACAGCTTACACAGTGTAATGAAATAAGTTCATGTGACATGAGTCGTAAAATGTTAATTATTAATTTGTTTCAATCGAAATGATAGCTTTTTTGCTTTTTTATGAACTTGAATAAATTTTTAGCTGTCTCAAGGTTATAACTAGCTGTATAAAACACAGACTGCTGCGTACATGCGGGAATGTGTTCACGATCTATTATTGCGCATTACACTACGTCATCACTTTTATTTATATGCCGCAAACGGTAAACTCCTACAACTTCCAGTGTAACGATAAAAAATGAACATTTCTGTTTGAAAAGATTTATTTTAACACTAGATGATAATAATTAATAAACTACACGGTATTGTACAATTCAAATTCAAAATATACAACGCGAAACCCATGACATTACATTTTAATATTAAGAAACATTACATTAATGAAATGGGACATTTAAAAATAGTTATAATTATAAGGTCCTCTCCTATACTTAGATATACTTAAACTTATCTTTACTATAGTTATGTTACAAGCTAAAGCTAAAGTTATATAAACAAAACACGTTTTTTAATCAGACAGCAAAGAGAAAAATGTAACACTGAACAAACCAGAGTTTTAAAAGATTGTTTATAAATATCCTTTGTGAGTGTTGCAGAAAAGAAAAACGAACTTATGAAACTATGCAACTAGATTTCTCTTGTACATTGCCATTTGCCTTCTCAATCTCATGAATGAGTGAGTGGAAAACATCAGACACTGAGGAGTTCTTTTTTGCTGAGGTTTCTAGGAACACACAATTCCAACTTTCTGCTAATTTCTTGCCCTCTTCTTCGGTGATTCTCCTCTGCATGTGAAGGTCTGTCTTGTTGCCAACTAACACAAGGGGCACATGGCCCTTACCCACAATGTCCAGTAGTTTATCATAGATCAATTTAACTATTTTGAAGGACTGTGCACTTGTGATGCTGTACACAAGCACATAACCATGGACATCAATGCTGTATTGATAGGGGAAGATAGAGTACTCGTCCTGACCGGCCGTATCCACCACGTTTAACTCGAATTCTTGGGAATTTATTCTGGTAGACTTTGTGAAGGTGTTCTCAATGGTTGGGTCATATGAGTCAACAAATTGACCCTCGACGAATTGTATACACAGTGATGACTTGCCCACGGACTTGCAGCCCATCACCGCGATTTTACGCTGTTTCGGTGGCATTGTTTATATGCAAGGTATTACGTCGTTATTGTTGTAGCGATGATTATTTATTTCGTCAGCTGCAGCCACTAACATTCCTCCTCACTACTTTGATCTGCTTGGTTATCTGCACGTTTTTGTTCCGTTATGTTAAGTTATATAATGTTCATTAACACTTCACCAATACCACACATAAACTGCGGAATTTACAGACGGTTGATCGCGAATTAATTAATTTCTACATAATAAATAACCTTCAGCGTGATTGTTAACTTTGACATTTTATTGACAGTCATTATAGCCACTAGGTGGCTTTGCTTTTATTCAAACGCAGATTTCTAATCTAGTTGTATATTTTTATTGCAGGGGGCGCTAGGTACACTAAACGAACGAACATTCGAGTTGTTTACAAAGCAAGTGCAGAACAGAACAGGTTTGCGAGTTCTTATCAGTTATCACCAGTAGAAGTGATCGTTTACAGTCTCGAGTAACGTTTTAATTCGGTTCTTCGTGTGGCTAAACGTGCTGCGAAAGAAACTAATTGGTGCCTCAGCAAAACTCTTTTCATCGTCGTATTGCAGATCCTGTGCTGGGGAGTCGAACGCATCAACGTATTCCTGCATCAAAAAGGTAAGAATTCCATTATTATTAATATGTACATATTGTTGTATTGTTATTTGTAACCGATATAACCTTGATGCCTTTGTCGTTGAACACGATGAGCAGCGGTGTTGCGCCGGATAAACCGCGTATGGCTTTGATTATGTCTTGAATTTTATGCGGGCTACATGTGCGAATCATACAAGAGTTGCTCTCCAAATCGATTACAAAAGAGACGATTCCTTGTACTTCCAATAATAAAACTTCATATGAACACTTGATTCGACAGTTAAATCGGATAGATATAAATTGTAAACATTATACTTCCTGAAATTAACTCTGTTCGTTCTTGGGCGTTTCATTGCTGTTTTTAGCTGTTCACAAACGTAATTTACTTTCTCAATTATTTCTTTCGAGTATTTTTTGGTCCTTGAAATGACTCAATTACATTTATTTATTATTGTTCGGGGAAAAAATGATTGCTTACTTTATAGCTAAATAACTTAAGCCTTCATAGAGTCCAAATACATTGAGTATAGCCTGATGATTCTTGTTGACATCAACGAAATTCACCAGGATATCCAAACACAATTGCAAGATCTCTTCGTTTTTTGTCGCCAGCAAATTGGCAATAAACAACAGCATAGTCTTCTCCTGCAAAGGCATCAGATGATGAACGTATAACTCATAAATCTAAGATGCATCGCGCGTGAGACCTTCAGCAATTGATTGTGGTTATCCGGAAGATCGGACATTTTTTTGTACGCCTGCAACATCTTGATACATTCTAACGTCTTCGTCTTCATGTGTAGCTTCGGTGAGCTGGTCTCCATTTCTCGCACGCGATTATTTGTTATGATGTGTGTTGTGAGTTGAAACGCTGATTAATAGAAACGTGTCGCCGCGGCCGTAATTACATCAATCAAATACCCAATGACGTTGGCCGCCTCGATTAATCACCGTTCGACGGCGAGTCGATCAGTGTTATCACAGCGCGTTTGATTAATGTAATTATTTGTTTTAATAACTTTGCACATGCAATGGCTAGGATCTCCGGTTGAACATTTAATTTAATTTATAATTGTAAAAATTATATGTTGTGTGCTATGCTAACAATGTTAGGGTCAGATTCCTGTGTGTGTGTGAGTGTTTCAACGCAGGTGAAACGTGCGCGGCGCGCGCTTCCATTGTCACGCCTTGCCTGACCACGCCGACTCGTATTCATGTTTTCCTGGTGGAAAACTGACTCCTGCGTCTTCGCACGGCGTTGGTAATGTCGGCGCAACTCGGGAACGGGGCTTGTCATCGCAAGCGCACAAGCAGGTTGATAATTTTGGCACATGCTCGATGCGCAGCGGGCGGGGCTGCCAACTTGTTTACGACTACACCATCATAACAAAACTTTTCATTCTCAAATAAATCGTGAAATCTTTTCGAAAACTAGTTAAAATTCTTGAGATTTTTTACTTTGTCGAAATATTATAATTAAGCATTTATCAACAATTCGGTATGTAAATTTCCGTATTTAACTAATGAATGATAAAATATTCACGCATAGTTTCTGATGCATGGACACACGTCGACGGAATTGAATATTTGTCGGCGCTAGGTCTTTGATACAAAGGTTTGTTTGACCTCTTCGGATAAGTTGGAGGCGATTTTTAATGATACGTTTTCACAAAGGCACGAAAATTGTCGGTGCCACTTTTAAGGCATTTTTTTCCTCGACCGGCGAAATTCTATGCGCATTTAGAAGAGTTCCTCGGGACGCATGTCTAGACGCGACGCTTGGAGGCAACTATATCGTAGTCGTATATGAAATAAATTCGGCCTTTCCGAGCCGGGCCGAAAAATACCCCGGTTTTTCGGTGCGTTTGCTTTTTTTTGGCCGAAATTGTTGTTTTTTTCGATGTTGACTGCCATCGGATCGACGCGTACGTAGGCACTTACGCATCAACTTCATCGCGTTTTTCTCCTCCTGTCCTTCTGCGCGTACGCACACACCGCATCTTCGCATCCCTGACGTGTGCGGCGCAGCATCTCTCCGCGGCGGCGGGTTAGGTATTTCGGGCCACTCCGACTCCGTCACGGCAAAAGACACTGGAATGGACGCAAAACCGGCAATTACAAAACGTAATTATATCCTCCGAGAGCGTTTAATTACCGTTGTGGGAGATATATGCGCACCTCAATCGGTACCATTAAGTACCCCGCGCGTACATAATTTTCGTTTAATTGTTGATTCTCATTATTAAGTGCAGCGCCAAATTAAACGCTCCACCGTCCGTGCCGCAATTTTTATTGCTTTTGATCATTCCCCGCGCTCGCGTCTTGTTTTACGGCTCGGCTTCTAAACTGGGAAAAAAGGAAAATCCACTTCATGCATTCAACCGTCGACAAAACCGACAACGAATTTTCATTACGTGTTCTTTACTTTGTGCTAATTTGCAACAGTTTTTTGTTTGTTGTTTTGTAACGTTTTCTAAAATATAGTTTCTCGAAAAAAATGTAAAACTCATTGGCCCACGAAGCTGAGAGTCTAGCGTACGACAAGAGCAATTTTAATCTCTTGTCGACACGGAAATTAACTGAAACAAATTGTCGGCAGGACGTCGTCGGGATAACGCGATGCGACGTGCGACGAAATCTCGTCCGTCGCGAGGGTTATTTTTATGGTGACTTCGACAATCGCGCTGCATGACGCTAATTTATACATACAGAACACCTACTTCTGTCAATTACATCTGCCGGCGCGCGTAAACGCTCAATTTTACGTAAAACTTTCGTTTGTTGCTGTCGCGCATGCCTAGAAATTCTTTCCGCCGAATTCTCCTCCAACCGCACAGCCGCCGACTAAGACTAATGAACATTGCCCGCTTTGACAGGATTTAATTATATTTCACGGACCACTGTGCGGACCACGGTGTATCAAATCCTCACACGCGGCTCACAGAAGTGTCCGAGCAGCCATAAATCATGCAATCGGATAATAGAAATGGTTGCGCAAAGGACGCGCGTTGACCTCATTAGATTATTTAAGACGGTTTGTCTCCTAATTGTTTTCAAGTGCGTTAATTACTTTTATCAATTACGCGATAATTACTCGTAGGTTATTTTCATAATTAATTATGCGCACACTACACTAATTTATTACCAGTCATGTTTTGAAGAATTTTAACGAAAATTCTTTTGTGTTGTACACGATTGTATTACGTGCGTAGGTATGTGTGCGATGCGTTGCGAAAACGATGGGGTTATTATCGAAGGCACCATAAAATGGTAGACCGGTAGTTGGGAGTAATTAAACCGATTGCCTTCTAATTGCTCTGATTTATAATCGTCGTGCCTTCGGGTGCTTTACGTCCCGGGACGGGCAAAAAACACGCGAGCTCGATCAGTCTGGACTGTGAGAGGAACTAAGCGCCGCCACCGCCACGATTGGGTTCCGTCCCACGCAATTAAACCGAAAACATTTTTTTCATGATTTATGAACGAAAAAATGTTTTAATAAAAATTGGTTTCGTAAATCCAGTTCTGGATTTCACGAAAACAAAATAACTGCAAGCATTTCTGAATGTTTTGAGTGGGTGCTCGAGGAATTCCATCGTAAAATTATATCAGGTAATTACTCCGCACACATTTAATAACAGTTATCATTTTATTTCGCTAAAAATGGGCACGAGCTATAACATTTTATTAACAGTGAACTCCTCGAAGCCGAATTCGGCGCCGCGCTCCGGAATCAGGTAGATCATAAATCATAAAAAATCAACCCAAATTATTCCTAGATTTTAATTGAGCGCTGAACTGATTTCGAGGCAGGCGGTTGACGTGCGCAGCGCGCGATTTGAGGAACCTCGAAGAAAGGTCTCTCGCCTTTGGCGCAAACCGCACGAGGTAGAGAATAATTGTCCAAAGGTGGGTGGATCGGAATGGGCTCGGATCTGCTCTCGGCCATTCGCCGCTTTTGATTATTTTCGCATTAAATATCAAACGCACTGACATTAGAACTTGATAATATGGTCAGCGCTAACAAAATATAGGGGTGAACTTGTGTCAATCACTAGGTGATATTGTAAAAATAGGGTATCAAAGGGGACAGGGGCACAAAAATGTTCTTTTTTTGACTTGGGGGTGTAGAACTTCTAAAAAAAACATTTCGATATATTTCTTTGTCTTTTATTCCTTTTGTTACACTTAAATTTGTTTTTTTAAATTTAATTTCACCATAGAATGATTAAAATATCGTTAAGAAAATTTAATCGAATTTCCCTTCAACTTGATAGAATCGTAAGTGTGATTAATGAAAAGAGTAGGATAATAGTTTTCCTATTATGCGGCTTGCGGGGGTGCGATCCAAATAAGCTTTGCGCTTGACTCAACATCAAAGCGCGCCTGTCCGTTCGGAGATTATTTATGAACCCTGGCACTAGTCCTGAATTACGACTCACTTGCACTCCATAAACATTACGCCGAATGTTTTACCAACAAACTAACTGTCCGACACCGACAACGGACACGCCGTACATTCCCGAAACACACAAATAAACAACCAGACACAGGCGTGCGTCGCCGAACACGAAAAAAATAACTATTTACTATAAAGATTGTGATCATTTGTCATGTCCGCGAGCCGTGCGACAACGCCGCGCTTAGAACCGCTACCAAAGCTACAAGACGCTACATGCAAATAATTGCTTTTGTCCATCTCCATTATGATCTCTTCGCGGCGAGGTTGTTGCCTGCGTTACATTTTAATTTTTATTTTATTCAGTTATGACTTGCTATACCTACGGGAATTTCAAATTAACAACGCGCTGTGTTTTGTCTCTTGCGCAAGCACATAATAAGTTAGGACTAACAAATTGCCATGCTAATTCTAATGAAATAGAAATGACATTTAATGGCGACAGGCTTAATGTAAACGAAGATGCGCTCTGCTCGCAGAGCGTTAAGTCACGTGCGACCACCTGTAGATCTGTGGATGTGCCGCCTCTTAATAGAAATGTTTGAGAATTATTGGTCGTTGG